TTCTTCACTGCACACTCCAGCTATAGTCAAGGTATTCAGGATGGTTGGTAGGCCTGTCCTTCCCCACTTGCTTGCTAAAAGTACGAACAATTTAGGCACCTTTTTCGGCAATGAATTCTTGGTACTGCACTGCTGTATGAATGTATGTTCCTCCCCCCCTCCCCCTTGCTCTCCACTCCCTCCCTCTCTCCCTCTCTCCTCTCTCCCCCCCTCCCTCCAGATACATGTACTGGACTGACTGGGGCGACAGACCACGCATCGAACGAGCTTCCATGGACGGCAAAGATCGCACCGTTCTTCACTCCACGAATGTGGTGTGGCCGAACGCTCTAACAATAGACTACACCACACAAACCCTCTACTGGATCGATGCTAAACTAGACTACATCGAATCTTCTTTCCGCGACGGAACCCAACGCCAGGTGCTGTATCGAGAAATCAACGTTCATTTTCGTCCGTTCGGGCTGACGTTCTTCAGAGACAAACTATACATGGCAGACATAGACGCCAGGGAAGTTAGGTCGTTTCTCGTGAAGAGCAACAGGTCGGAGCTGTTGACGATCTATTCCGATAGTTTGGAACCAATGTCTGTGGTTGCGGTGGATGAGACAAGACAACCGTATGGTATGTGGATTCTGTACGTGACCCACTACGGTATAGACACTACCTGTAGTGGGTCACCTGTGAATATAATTATAACAGGAGAATTTTGAGGTCGAAAAATTTTCGCGAGTTTGAAAAAAAATTTCCACAAAATTTTGGACTAAGCCATTAAAATTTTCTCTGATTTCCGGTTGAATGGTAGAAGCTTTTTCCTTTAAAAAAGGTTTCCCTATTAAATGTGCCTGTTGTGTTGTGTGTAGCTGAGTTGGTAGAGCAGTCTGGAGTGTCACGTGTTAGAGCCCCACCCATCTTTGACAAAGACACCTCACTAACTTCTTCTGTGTATCAATTTTCTTCATGCTGTTTTTGTCCCCACAGTGCGTGTGGAGTGTCTACCAAAAGCTGGAAATTTCTCTTGTGCCTGTGAAAATATCACCACCATACCAGGTATATACGTAAATTATTTGTTTGCTTCAGAAAAATTTTATCATGAGCATGAGCACTTAGCGTCAGTCCTGATCTCGTATCATGAATCATGTGAATCATTGTTTACTGGTGTCAACTTAGCGTCAATCCTGATCGCATATCATGAATCATGTGAATCATTGTTTACTGGTGTCAACTTAGCGTCAATCCTGATCGCGTATCATGAATCGTGTTTAAGCGTCAGTCCTGATCTCGTATCATGAATCATGTCAATCATTGTTTACTGATGTCAACTTAGCGTCAGTCCTGATCTCGTATCATGAATCATGTCAATCATTGTTTACTGGTGTCAACTTAGCGTCAGTCCTGATCTCGTATCATGAATCATGTCAATCATTGTTTACTGGTGTCAACTTAGCGTCAGTCCTGATCTCGTATCACACGCACACAGTGACAAATCCGTGTGAAGTCGACAATGGAGGCTGCGAGTACATGTGTCTTCTGGGTACCCCCGACATAGGGTCTTACTCGTGTGCATGCCCCACTGGCCACCGACTGCACCCCGATGGAAAGTCATGTCTTGGTGAGTAGTGTAATGTTAGCAGCAGCCATTTTGCTATTACGTATGAGGGCTAAATTTAGAAGAACATTTCTAAATTTAGCCTAACATTACCCTTTTCACTGGAACCTCCTATAAGGGACCCTCCGAGATAGGGATGACCTCTCTACAAGGGACACTTGTATCCACCCCATGCTAATACTTTAGCGTATTATATGACCTCCGAGATAGAGACGACCTCTCTACAAGGGACAAAATCGTGTAGTGTCTCTTGTTCGGAGGTTCGACTGTACTGTTCCGTCTCCTCCCTCCCACTTCCCCTCACAAGGACTGGACACGTTCCTAGTTCTGGTCGACAGGTCCGATATATACAAGGTATCACTGGACGTCCCTCATCCGGTCAACGTGAGATTTCCTCTCGCCGGAGTCGAGATTCTGTCCGCCGTGGCGTGGGACAGCCGTGACGACACGTTGTACTTTGCCGATTTGAACCGACGAACAATCGGCGCCGTCAAATTCAACGTGAGTGTACTGAATTATAATATACGTGGTTTTGTGCTCCTTTATATACACGTTTGGTTGAATCAATTATTCGTTGTTTGCTGTATAAAGTTTAAATTTAGAAAATGTTACGCCTTGTCATTTGTATTTTTAGTAACATTTAAGTGGTGACACACATCTTGTGTCAGCCTATAATATACTAAATTTAAAATGTTACTAAAAACAGAAACCTGATTGGATTCTTTCACTGGGCCCTATTGTTTAGTAACATTTCTAAATTTAGCTATTCTCCCTCCCTCACTCCCTCCCTCCCCCATCACTCCCACCCACCCACTCAGGGAAGCAAAAAGAGAGTAATAGTCGACAGCCACACTCTGAAGGCTCCGGTCGGTCTGGCATTGGACTGGCTTCACGACAGGCTGTATTGGACGGACTCGGAACGGGACCTGATCGAGAGCTGCGACCTGGACGGGGGGCGACGGGCAATCATTGTTGATAGCGGCCTAGACCGACCAAGAGATGTGGCCGTGGATCCTGAAAGAGGGTATATATAAGGGAGTAAAAATATGTTTTGCTTGTTTAGATGTTGGTAATTTTGAATAGCATTATCTCATTCGTCGATGTGGACATTTCCTTTATAAATCTAATTGTAATCTGTTTCCTCTCTCTGTCCACCCCTCCCTCCTTCCCTCCATCTCTCTCGATCCAGTCGAATGTTCTGGTCCATATTTAGTAACAGTTCTAAATTTAGCCCTTGTGTACTGACGCATTCCCTTTATAAATCTGACGCTAATCTGTTTCCTCTCTCTCGCCATCTCTCCACATCTCTCTCTCTCGATCCAGACTAATGTTCTGGTCTGACTGGAGTGACAGAAGGCCTCGTATCATGAGAGCTGCACTCGACGGCACCTCAAAATTCCAGCTCGTCACAGAGCTAATAGACACGCCCAACGGCGTTGCCCTTGACTACCAGAACCAGATAGTGTACTGGGTTGACGGGGTGACTGACACTATCGAGATGGTTCATTACAATGGCAGGTACACGTATGTATGTGTATATGTACTGCAGATGGAACGATTCTTAATTATCTCTTTTGACGCTAAGCAGAGAATCATGTATAAAGTCTTAGCCCCTAGTATTATAAACCTATATAAGTTCTTAGAGAAAGGCAAATTGTTTAACAGTCTTCTGTACTGTCAAATTGACTGTATCATTACCTTTTCCTCCCTCCCTCTCTCCCTCCCTCCCTCCCTCTCCTCCCTCCCTCCCCTTTCCTCCCTCCCTCCCTTAGCAACCGTGTAACGCTGTTAGACTTCAACCTCGACTATCATCCGTCTGGACTGGATTTCTACGCCGGGCGGCTCTATTTGACGAATTGGAGGGAACATAACCTCATGGGGGTCAATGTCAATGCAACAAATTTGGGGGAACCAGAAGTAATGGTCAGAGAGTTGATCCAGTCCAACGAGATGTCACCGTTTTCCACAGGAACAGAAATCATGATGGTATATATAGTTCTTTTCTTTTTTCTTTCTTTTCTTCTCTTTTTTTCTCTTTCTGTCCTGGGTGTAGTTGACTTGTTTGATGGTATATCTTTTCTTTTTTTCTTATTTTTCATGGGTGTAGTTGACTTGCCTTGCCATTCTATATACCTCATTACTAAGTTGTCGAGACATGATGCATGTTATTATTATTAACTTTCTCTCTCTTTCTCCAGCTTATACTCCATGTAAACGTAACAACGGCGATTGCAGCGATATTTGTGTGTCGAGGGCTAGGATCTCAAGTGGTGAAGTTAAAGCTGGTTGTCTCTGTGAAGTAGGGTTTCCTCTTTTGGAAGATGGGAAGACCTGTGCTACTGGTAAAGACAGAGCTGCCTCAGTAGCTCAGTTGGTAGAGCCATCTCTAGAACACAGAGTGCTCTGCCTTGCTCTGTATGAGTGATTCAGCCCAGCCAGCTGAGCTGCCTCAGTAGCTCAGTTGGTAGAGCCCTCTCTAGAACACAGAGTGCTCTGCCTTGCTCTGTATGAGTGATTCAGCCCAGCCAACTGAGCTGCCTCAGTAGCTCAGTTGGTAGAGCCCTCTCTAGAACACAGAGTGCTCTGCCTTGCTCTGTATGAGTGATTCGGCCCAGCCAGCTAAGCTGCCTCAGTAGCTCAGTTGGTAGAGCCCTCTCTAGAACACAGAGTGCTCTGCCTTGCTCTGTATGAGTGATTCAGCCCAGCCAGCTGAGCTGCCTCAGTAGCTCAGTTGGTAGAGCCCTCTCTAGAACACAGAGTGCTCTACTTTTCTTGAGATGAGTCTACGTCTATTTTCTCTGTTCTATAGAAATCAATACAACCATGCTGTTTCCGACTGCCAATGCCATCCATTTCATATCACAAGATGTCGATGATTATACAGCAGGTTAGTAACCAACTACAATTTTTAGCAGGTGAAGGTCTAATACTTGTACACATACATTTCTTTTTTTTTACGCAGACAAAACAGTGCAAGTAAAACAAACAAAAAACAACAGAGAAACTTATTATTTTTTCTTATTTTTTGAGAGTGATATTTGTACTCACGGTTGAATTGCATGATACAAGGCATTAAAATAAAGCCTAAAATTGCGTAATCCAACCCATAAAAATAGTGGTGAGTTACCTGTGTAATATAATATACGCCGTAAGCAGGCTTTAGTTTTTTACTCTTGTGTACATATGTATCATTATAAATATGTACCCTAGTAACGGACAATTTCTTGAATTTTGCTCTGTGCAGACGTTGTGGTGCCGGTTGACGTAGCCGCACAGACTATCACGTCCGTTGCCATGGATCCTATCAACGGAGTCATCTACTACGCCACTCTGGACACTTTCGGAATACACAGAGTCAATTTGACAGGTTTGGCGTTAAAAATATGAGACCATGAAAAATATTTGTGCTGACGCTGTATGATAATAATTGTTTTATAACAGTCTTCTGTACTGTCAAATTGACTGTATCATTACCTTTTCTCCCTCCCTCCCTCCCTCCCTCCTCCCTCTGTCACTGAAGGTGAAAATCAAACCTCCATTCTAGACGAACACCCAACAGCTATTACCTCTCTGGAAGTCGACTATGCAACTCAGAACGTCTATTTCGTCGATTCTTACGAGAATAGGTTGGAAGTGGCCAGCACTGACGGTCGCAGAAGGAGGGTTCTTCATGACGGACTTGTTAGTCCGACTGGCCTGGCATTGGACCCCGTATCACTGTATGATGTAGTAATACTGTAACCAATGCCCGCATTAATTGGCGAGCAAGCACGACAAGTTAAATTTTCACGTTTGTTTAGAATGAGGTTTTATTTTTTCCCCTCCCTTTAACATTTTACCTTGTATAATATGTGTTCAGATATGCATCCCATTCTCAATTTCAATGAAGAACACTGTTCTACGCCTTACTGGCAAACTCCCCCTAACCTGTGCTTAAGTCACTTTCAATTTCAATGCAGGACACTCTTCTACACCAGTACTGGTGATATCCCTTACTGACAAACTCCACCTAACCTTCATGCATAAATATGCTAAGCTCCGCTTTCAATTTCAATACAGGACGATGTTTTACATCGATACTGGCGACATAGATAGAGAAGAGTCTCCTAAGATATACTCTGCTGCCATGGACGGCTCTTCCCCCGAAGCCATAGTAACAGGCCACCCACTCAACCACCCGTTGTACATCGCCGTTGACAATGGCGACGGAGTGGACGGTCTGATATACTGGACCGATGTAGGGACTAACATGGTTTACTGTGCCTCTTTGCTTGGAGAGGAACCACGAGCCATCGCTGGTGAGCTGTAAACTGTATGACGTGTATGCGTGTGTGTATTCCTCTGTGCTATGCACCCCTGGCACATTGCACAAGTACAGTATGAATAAAGCCAAATTCAACATCCCCACTAGTTGTCCCTTAGCACGCGCTAACGCGTGAAAACGTGTGTTTAAATCTCGTACTAACTCGCATCGTGTTTACTAAGTGCCGTTTCCCCGCGCAACCAGTGCACGCAGAAAAACAAAGCAAGCGGGCGTCAATTGGAGTATGTACTAAATAAGTTGGCCATTTCGTCCGTTGAAATCTGCGCATGTTAGAAGCACTCGGGCCCTTTACGTAGCGTCCCCGCTGCACTACAATACATAGACTCTCTGTCGAACTGTTATTTATTCATAGTGAGTTCATATTACACTAAGTGTGAAAAAAAATTTTATATTACCTTAAAATTTTAACACGGACATGTCTTTTTTTGCAGGTTTTGGTCCGTTGGATATCGGATCAGTAGTACACGGCGTTGCCTTTTTTGGAGGACATGTATTTTTCACTGACTCTGGGCTGAGAAAAATATACGAAAGCACTACAATTTTGATGGATAAAAGCGTGTATATGGAGGGCTTCAATTACTTGTCAGATATCAAGATCGTTGAGACTAGAAAAGGTGAGAGAAGTTAGGAAATTCATGAAAATGTCCTGATTGCAAGGCGTCCTAATTAGTGAGATGTCATAATCAAAGTGTCCCGATTAGTGAGGTGTCCTGATCTCAAAAGAAAGTGTCCTGATTAGTGGGTGTCATCTCAAAGATGTCCCGATTAGTGAGGTGTCCTGATCTCAGAAGAAAGTGTCCTGATTAGTGAGGTGTCCTGATCTCAGAAGAAAGTGTCCTGATTAGTGAGGTGTCCTGATCTCAGAAGAAAGTGTCCTGATTAGTGAGGTGTCCTGATCTCTGAAGAAAGTGTCCTGATTAGTGAGGTTTTCCTTCACAGGTTTGGTTTTGTGGGCAATAAAATTTTTTTCTAATCATCTAATAATTATTTAACCCCTTACTCACTAGGACACATCGGAGGATGTCTGAACACGTCTCGCTGCGACTACCTCTGTCTCCCCAACCCAAATGTCCCGAGCAAACAAACCTGTGCTTGTGCCACCGGAATAGAACCTTTGCCTGATGGATCCTGCCCTGAAGGTATTGTACCTAGGACACAGAGAGCTCTGCCTTGCTCTGTATGAGTGATTCAGCCCAGCCAGCTGAGCTGCCTCAGTAGCTCAGTTGGTAGAGCCCTCTCTAGAACACAGAGTGCTCTGCCTTGCTCTGTATGAGTGATTCGGCCCAGCCAGCCGAGCTGCCTCAGTAGCTCAGTTGGTAGAGCCCTCTCTAGAACACAGAGTGCTCTGCCTTGCTCTGTATGAGTGTTCAGCCCAGCCAGCTGAGCTGCCTCAGTAGCTCAGTTGGTAGAGCCCTCTCTAGAACACAGAGTGCCCTGCCTTGCTCTGTATGAGTGATTCAGCCCAGCCAGCTGAGCTGCCTCAGTAGCTCAGTTGGTAGAGCCCTCTCTAGAACACAGAGTGCTCTGCCTTGCTCTGTGTGAGTGATTCAGCCGAGCCAGCTGAGCTGCCTCAGTAGCTCAGTTGGTTCTCTGGAACACAGGGTGCTCTGCCTTGCTCGTCCAACTGACTCATTTCATTACCTCATCTTTTAACACAGTACCAAACACGTTTCTACTTGTTGCGGGACAGAACTCCCTCCGTCGTATAGCCCTCGATAACCCAAGTGGAGAATACGTGGATATCCCTCTATACGACTCCCTGGACGGTTATGGTGTGAATGCAGTGGATTATTTGCTTACTGCCCGGGGCGAGGGATATATATACTTTGCTGAGATGAAAACTCCATCTGGTGTAGCTGGGGACAACGTTTGGAGGTATTAAACTATAAGCATATTTCATGACTCAAAACTAAGTCTTAAATAATGTAACAAGTTACATTTTCTTTGTTTTTGAGAATTGTAACAATTTGCAGGTCTCGCATTAGACGGCAGTGCATGTTCGAACAAAACGGCGACGGATCTGAGATCATTCACGAAGAAGACACGGGGATTATAGAGGACATTGCCGTCGACTGGACCACTGGAAACGTCTACTTCACTCTTAATGCCGTTGGCAACAGCAGAGCTGATTCCCACGTTGCCATGGTTTCCGGGAGAGGGGCAGGAAATAAGGTCACCCTCGTCAACACCACTCTTCACAAACCTCGCGGAATTGCGCTCCATCCTCTCCAAAAGTCAGTAAATCTTCCGTTTTGTGTATATAGTTCAAGCCGTTTTACGTAACCAAAGAATAATTGATATTTTGTAAGTACAAAAAAAGTTTGTTCAACAATTTGACGTTTGGCTCCTCCCGTTGCTCTTGGTATGTCTTCCTATGGTTCTGGTGCCATGGCTGCCTCAGATTGAATTTTTTTTTTACTTTGCTTTTAAGCCTAGGTAAGCTGCCCTGGTAGCTCAGTGGTTAAGCACTCTGCCTAGAGAACAGAGTTTCGTGGGTTTAGTCGCACCCGGGGCAGCTCTCCTTTTCAAATTTTCATAATGTTGTCCGAAGGTACTTGAATGCACCTGCCTTGCGTTTTTACGCCCTTTGGATGCCATGGTTATCTCCTTAATTAAGCAGAAATTGGTGTATATTATCGTATTAACGCCTAGTATTATAGCCATAATTCTTATGAACTTATGAAGGCTCTGGGCATATTATATATATATGCCCGTGGCTTGCTAGCTAGCTGTTGATACGGTACACGTGTATTGTCTATTTACACAGTACGATGTTTTGGACTGATTTCGGAGACCCGCCGAAAGTGGAAACTGCGAGAATGAACGGAATGAGTCGAACGCCCATCATCACTCGAGGACAAATGCCCTTCTCGAACCTCCTACATCCCAATGACGTCATCGTCGATCTCAACACGGACCTCGTCTACTTCTGCGACGGAGGTGCGGGGATTATCGGTGCCACAACGTTCCTAGGCAACGCCGGCGAGATAATCGTTGCCGTCGACGACAACCCGGACTTGCGTCGCTCGCAACCCACCAAACTCTTTATAAGGAAACCGTGGTCACTAACCATGCGGCATTTCTCCCCTAGCGACCGAGACGACGACCCAGAGACGGAAGAGGCGGAGCTGTTTTGGTCGGACCCGGAGTTCCACCTCATGTCGTCGGTGTCGCTCGTGACGACCGGTCGCTCGACGACGGGAATTGAAAAGACGCACTTGAGGAATATTCTGGAACGAACCACGCTGTACAAACCACTCGCAGTTCAGTTTGTGTCAATAGATGGACACAAACCCGGAGGTGAATAATATAGTATCTAGTGTGTATACAGTGGAACCTCCTTTATAAAAACGACGTCTTTCACCGTTTTTTTCTAGAATTTTTGCTGGGGGGGGGGCAAATTGGGTTCTTTATCTAGAAAGTTTGCTCGGGGAGGGGGGCAAGTTTTTTTCCCTAGAGATTTTGCTCGGGGGGCAAGTTGGCTATTTCAGAAATGCGCAAAGGGTACAAGGTAACCCCTAATGAAGGACACCTGCATAAAGAACAACATCCATGGTCTCAGCGTTCCCTTTTTACAGAGGTTCCACGACAAGGTGTGGTTCTCAAGGACTGTAGGGGGCAGGAACCACACTGTACATGTCCCTATTAATTTATGTACAGCTCTCTCCTTTTTTATTTTCCCCATCCACTTCATAAGTACATGCGTATGTTGTTTTTCCCTCCTCTTCCTCCTTTCCTCCCTCCTCCCCCCCTCTCCCTCTCCCTCATATGTCTTCAGAAATAACCGGACTCACTACAATGCCTTGCTCAACACACTCCTGTGAATACCTGTGTCTCAACATCAATGCCACCCATTTCCACTGTCTCTGTCCCGATTCCGTTCCAAACTGCAGACCTAGAAGTGCGGAATGTGTCCATACGAGTGTCTAGCAAAGCGAGCAGTCGCATAGGGCACTGCACATACCGTGATACTTTACATGATTCTATATACATAATGCTTTCATCCTAGTGATAGTATTAATTATACCTCTTTTGCAACAAAAACTTTCGTGACAGTAACAGTTAGACGCGATTAAGTTTCCGTTTTTTAGTCTAAGTTTAGCCAGCTAAACTGTAGGGCCCAAAGATGCAATGAAGTTTTAGTTAAGACTGCTAAAGTTAGTAACGGTTTCTAAGTTTAGCCAGCTAAACTGTAGGGCCCAGAGCAAGAATGCATGCAATGAAGTTTTAGTTAAGACTGCTAAAGTTAGTAACAGTTTCTAAGTTTAGCCAGCTGAACTGTAGGGCCCAGAGCAAGAATGCAATGAGGTTTTAATTAAGACTGCTAAAGTTAGTAACAGTTTCTAAGTTTAGCCAGCTAAACTGTAGGGCCCAGAGCAAGAATGCAGTGAAGTGTTAGTTAAGACTGCTAAAGTTAGTAACGGTTTCTAAGTTTAGCCAGCTGAACTGTAGGGCCCAGAGCAAGAATGCAATGAGGTTTTAATTAAGACTGCTAAAGTTAGTAACAGTTTCTAAGTTTAGCCAGCTAAACTGTAGGGCCCAGAGCAAGAATGCAGTGAAGTTTTAGTTAAGACTGCTAAAGTTAGTAACAGTTTCTAAGTTTAGCCAGCTGAACTGTAGGGCCCAGAGCAAGAATGCATGCAATGAAGTTTTAATTAAGACTGCTAAAGTTAGTAACAGTTTCTAAGTTTAGCCCTTATTATACCGCACATCCCTTTGTGTTACATGTCTATAGCGGAGCCTACTGAAAGACCGACTCGTTTAACCCCTACCACACCACCTTCTGAAACACTCCCACAACATCCTCCTCTTCGCAACCAGGCAACTCGGGCACCTCCCCACCTCCTCCCTCGTCGACCCCGATTCCACACGCTCTTGAACCGGAATGAACCGGCAGGGCAGGGGCAGAAGAGCGACGGACAGGGGGGGCAGACGATGAAACAGACTGGCAACCAGGAGGAGGAAGGTTCACTGCAGGATCTTGGTGTTGGCGGGGATGTGCTCGTTGTCGCGTTTGTCTTGTTCGCTGTGTTTGTGGTGGGAATCTTGTACTTGAGTCACCGTGCGAGAAGAAAATATGATCAGGTTGACAGGGCAACTATGATTCTCGGGTCGGAAACGCCATTACGGCCTCTCCCCTCACCTCACCGCGCTCCCCCTATCCTCACCTCCGCGCTCCCCCTCCTTCATTCCTCCCATCTCCCCAACTCACACGAAGAAAAGCAACCCTTTTCATCTCCCCACGAAACAGTGTAACTTTATCGCAACAATTGCGCGTGTAGCAACACCGACCTCCATGCCCGATGAAATGTGTCGCTAACGTTCGTCGGCGTAAACGAATTGTCGATGAGCCGGAAGTGTACCCAATCTCACCGAAAAGAGTGAAAAAACAAACCAAAGATCTCCACGAAAAGTAGCACTCACAAAAAGTGGGTCGCAAGAAGTCAATCGTGTGGATTCTAAACTCCGCCGCGAGAAAGAAAGATTCGCACGATTCTAAATGTTTCGATGGTCGGGGCGTGAAAAACCGGACTGCAGTTCGATTCGTATTCGAGCAGTGTCACCACTGTATCTGCCACTATTGAGATCGAAATTGAGGATTTGGAAACAATGGCCGCAGAGGAGGACAAACACGTGAAGAAGCCTTCTCGATCGTGTCTGTCCTCCGATTCCGACTCGTCGCAAGAGAAGTCTCGTCGTCGTGGCTTGAGCGTTGCTTGGGACGTCGACGGAGGCGCCCAACCTCAACCTCCTCCTCCTCCTCCCCTGCCTCCAGAGAGAGAACAACGAAAAGAAAAACTGAAAGTAGTTGATTGCCGAGCGCAGCGAGCCTACCTGAGTGGTGTTCTTTCATTTTAGGCGCTGTCGATAACGATTTACGTAATTCTAAATACCTGTAATTTTCCACTGGCATTTGCCACCAAACTGCATTGCATTGTGCTGTACTCAATGACCTATCGTGCAGTCATGTATGAAGTGGCTGTAATGTGTCCGTCTTCAGCAGTAAAATTGAAAGAACAGGGGGGGAAATGTGTGCGATTTTTTTTATTGAAGGAGCTACCTATCAAGCTAATGAGTGACGAGTGTACATTCTTTGTATTACTTGTAAAATTGCATTAAAAATAGTATATAAACCTCTCGAGCATGATTACCGAACTATTTTGCTTACTTACTTACAGCCCACCACCCAGACCACCAAAAGCAATTAACTGCCTGTACGAAAGTGCACAGGAAAGAGGAGAGAGGAGGAAAGGGAACGGAAGTAGCCGGGAGGACGACGGCGATTCAAAGACAGGTTCTGGACAGATTGCACGCGAAGAGTGGTGACGTGACATGGAACGAGGAACAGGTCCTCCCCAGACGTGAGATATACTATCAGCGTTTCTAGTGAAAAAACATGGATTTTCCCGAGATTCTCGAATCGCTTTTGGTTTTTGTTTCTTTGTACAAAATTCTATCATTTAACCTCAGCCAATCATGAAATGTCATTATTAGCACATTGTCTTATATACACAGTGTGAATTGTGATTCAATCAAAAAGTATAATACACATTCCCCTCAATCAAGTATTGTATTACCATGTAAGGGCATCATCAAGTATTACAACCTGTGTGTATAGAGCATAGGCAACGGTTTAAACAATGTTCGTAATAAATATTGACGGAACGATAATATGATAATCCACATGTAGGATAATGACTAGGGCTAGGTTCACGAATATTTATATCGCATTGCCATGTTGCGTGTGCTAGTATTAATGAATATTGTATGGGATAGAATTTTACATGCAGTTGAGGGACAATGTTCCATACATGTGACAATGGTTGTATTGGCTATAAGGATTCGAGGATGTAAGAACGTCTGTAGTTCTGTGCTTCTGACGTGGTTTTACAGTTGCAGAGTATCTCCCTAATGTAAGGTGAGCTGGTGTATCGCACAGAGTAGCCTAGCGACAGAAACTGGTAGAGTTTGAGCAGGGAGGTGGGGTCAGAGGTCGGGTCTTCACGGGCGGTTTGGAGTTGAATGACGTCCAGTTCGTCACTGGCCGTGTAACGCTTCCTGAGCTGTCGGTCTGCACGCGTGGCTACGGGGTCAGTTGGAAATTGACGGTCGCCGTTTCTTACGCTTTCACCGTCGATTCGTTCACTTTGAAAACCATTCGTGCTGTTCTCTATAGAGTGACCGCCTCTTCTTAATGAACTCCCTCCCAAATTGCATCTGGTGATCTTTTGACTGTTTTCCACGTCCGAAATTTCCGGTGCGTTGTCCGAGTTCTCGTGTGAAGGCGATTCAACTTCGTGCACGATCCGTGATCTCTTTACGCGGACGTTCGGTGCGTCGTTGTCGAAGTCGCTCTGCTCGGAGCTCAGCGTTGTTGCACTTCCGATCCGTGAGATTTCGTCGTCGTTGTGAAATCCATTTGATGAACCCGGGCACTTGTATTCTACTGACAGCTGTGCTTTATCGTCGACATTGTCAAAAGAAGGGTTAATTGGTTGCGGGAGTGTCGGGCTGGATTTGCCAGGTGAGGACTTGTCGTTGTCCCCCCAGACTTGATGGTACGAAGTGACCGATGAAAGTCTTGGCAAACTGCGAGACAGCCTTGGAACCATCTGATCCTGAGATAGATAGATAGAGAAAAAGATGATACACAATGCAATTTTTTTGCTTAGTATTGCTAGACTGTGCAACAAAATAATATTGCGTGTAACATGATATACCTATACGTACCTCAAAATCATCATCATCGTCAACTTGACACGCCTTCAACAACTGCTCTAGACTCCGCCCTCTCCTAATTAGGGGGCGTGGCCTCTTCCAAGGGGAAAACTTCCGGTTTCCAAGACGACGGTCGGCTTCGCGACACACGTCGACCGACCAATCGTCAAGGTCGGGAAGATCCGGGGAAATGTCGCCACTTGAATCCCCGTCCGAGAGAGAGAGAATGGAGATTTTCTCCGTCATATCACCACCTGTGTAGAGAGAGGATTCTTGAAATGAGGACTCTCGAGTGTATATACTACAGTGGAACCTCTGAACAAGGGACACCAACGATTTTGTCCCTTGTAGAGAGGTCGTCCCTATCTCGGAGGTCAAATAATACACTTGTAGTATTGGCATGGGGTTGAAACAAGTGTCCTTTGTAGAGAGGTCGTCCCTATCTCAGAGGGTCCCTTATCAGAGGTTCCACTGTATGTATGATTGAGCCCCTCTGGTCAGGACACCAATGGGACAGATAATGTGTCCATATTAGTGGTGCCCTTGCAAATTGGGAAGAGCCTTCTTAGAAAGATGTCCGTAATTCAGGAGTGTCCTTAGACACGGGTTGCCAACTTTAAATTAGGACACCTGTACTACTCTACTTTCTTCTGAGATCAGGACACCTCACTAATCAGGACACACCATACCGTGCAGAATGGATTGTTCATCACAGACAGACACTTTCTCCCTCTCCTCCTCAACAGCGAAGCACTTCACCCCCCTCTCCCCTCCTCTCCCATTCCTCCCTCCCCCCACTTCCCTCCTGCTCATCTTCCTCAATCGATTCCGCACGGTAATAGCTTCGAGAACGGTAAAAGTCTCGCACACAGACAACTTCTTAGCGACGACGGGCATCGCACTCGAAAGACGACTCAATCTCTTCAACTGTTGATAAGACTCGTAGTGGACGACGTTGCTAAGGAGGACTCCGAGGAAGATGACGCAAGAGGTGTTGCTCGAAACGTGTTTTGCGAGCTGTCGTCTGTACTGCCTCCAGTTTCGCTCCTCGGACATCAGGTTGCTAAGGTAATCCAATTGCCTGTACGGATATATAAAAACATCATCAGTCCCTGACTTATATTTAAAGCTTCGTAATCACTATCACTAAGTACGGTAGTACTCAGTATATAGGGATTGGCATGGTACCTAGCATCATAGATGTATGGGGCTATGATAGGGAGTTTTGTTCATCTTCTTCTTCTTCCTCTTCTTCTTCAGATTAGTATAATGGATGGGCATGGTACCTAGCATCATAGATGTATGTAGCTATGATAGGGATCTAATTGGTCGATGCATAAACCTCTAAATCACAAATCACATAGAGCTATTACGTAATATTACCTCTTTCGTTTCGAAGGTATTATAGGGATTGGCATGGTACCTAGCATCATAGATGTATGGAGCTATGATAGGGATCTAATTGGTCGATGCATAAACCTCTAAATCACATAGAACTATTATATATTACAAGCCATATTTCATTAATGTTCCAAACTCTTTCTCCAACCCCACGTACTACGCTAGACCCACAGCCATATTCCATTAATCATTCAAATTTAATGTTCCAAACTCTCTCTTACCTCTTTCGTTTCGAAGGCACTTCTTTCCAGGTTTTCTTGAGTCGATGTACCGGTGTGCACATCAGCCCAGCCAAAACGGCGTTCAGAGAATTGTAGTTTCTCAACTCGTAGCATTTCTTCGCAACCTGTGAAATGAACAGTTTACTTTTATAGTAACGGTGATATACACCTCCGAATAAAGGACACCTCTCTATAAAGGACACTTGGTTCTGCCCCATACTAATACATAGGGACACCTCTGAATAAAGCACACCTCTCTATAAAGGACACTTGGTTCTGCCCCATACTAATACATAGGGACACCTCTCTATAAAGGACACTTGGTTCTGCCCCATACTAATACATTAGTGACACCTCTGAATAAAGGATACCTCTCTATATAAGGGACACTTGATTTTGCCCCATGCTAGTGTATTATACTATAGTTGGAGTATGGAACAGTAACATACTCCATGCTAGTGTATTATACACCACATACTCCATGCTAGTGTATTATACACCACATACTCCATGCTAGTGTATTATACACCACATACTCCATGCTAGTGTATTATACACCACATACTCCATGCTAGTGTATTATACACCACATACTCCATGCTAGTGTATTATACACCACATACTCCATGCTAGTGTATTATACACCACATACTCCATGCTAGTGTATTATACACCACATACTTCTGAACAAGGGGCACACCTCTGATTAAAGCGATGCCCCCAACGTGTCATAGAGAATACTAAAACACTCAGACTATACTGAATAGTACCACCCGCTTCTCTTCCTTTACAAAACCTTATCTTGTCTATTTATTCTTACCTTACTTCACCAATCCCTATTTCGCTGCCCCTCACCCCAAAGGGTTTGAGCGATTTTGCTTTTTTTTACAGGGACATTAGGAACGGTAAATACAAAACAACCATACTCAATACTTTGACTATAGTTGGAGTTTGATAGTATCATATCTCGCTGCAACTATTCCTATCTTGCTCTACTAATCCCTATCTCACATCTATTTCACTGTCCCGCCTATGTGGCATAAAAGATTTTGCATTTTTTGTAGACACACGAGTGGAAAAAGAGACAAACCAACTGTCCCTAATACTGTGACTATAGTTGGAGTATGGAATAGTAACATACTCTAGCTCGCTGCACCGCACTTCACTTTAAAAGCAACAGCTTTGAATTATGGTCAGCTTTCTTAGTAAAACTACCCCCATGCAAGATTATACTGGTCTAGCTGTTTCGTTCATCGTAAAAGCTGTATACTAAACAAGCTATTGACACTTTCATTTTTAATACTAAACAAGCTGTTGACACTTTCATTTTTAATCTTACTTCACGGTTTTGGGGAAGGGAACTAACATGATGTAATAGATTGGAACCTCTTATCCGAATTAAGGACACCTGTTGATCCGGTGGTAATCTCTGACTAAAAGGACACCTGCATGAAGGACAGTTTTCAAGCTCCCAGTGATTCTTTAACTGGAGGTTCCTCTGTATACATGTAGCCTTTATAAACTCGTGGTGCCAGAGAGAGAAGTTGTGGTATGCTCTGCTGATGAGGGCCAACAAGCCCGAACAGCTGTCCAGAGCTCCTCATCTTTTTTCTCTTGGCATCACATGGTGTATTTTTCATGTGGATAGGGGGGATGGAGTATGCATTATTTCGGAGCCAGATAAGGCTAGGTCCACAATATGGCACCGTGCCGCGTCGCGTTCTGGAAATGGAGTCTATCCTGGCGGCATGGCGCGACGGGGCAATGCGACATATTCATAGAGAGGCGGGGCCCATAATACACATGGCTATGGCTAGTGTGTAGTCATGAGCTATCAAAACTCACACTCTTGCATCCCGTTTATCCCAGATACCTATCACGACAGAACGGGTTGCTGTTTTAGATATCGTCCATGTTTGCCTTATGTAATATTATCATACTGTGTTGTCATGGGGAAAGGAACAGCTGGTGTCTTAACAACAGTACAATGAAGGGGTCAGAGTCAGAGTGGGGCCAACCCTCAATATACAACTCTTGCCGGTTTCCCTTCAAATATTATGTCCTTATAGAACAAACCGGCAAAGAGTTGTAAATTGAGGGTTGCTCACTCTGGCTCTGACCCCTTCAATTACTCTGCAACAGTAATACAATAAACTACAGACCACCCAATTCCTGATAAATACCACAATTTCCTGATAAATACCACATGTATTAAACTATCGTGAGACATTCCCCTGTGGGCACACAATGTCCAGTTCAGAAGCCTACCAGTACCTTCCCTTCCCATACCAACTTGGCACCCACTTTGATTGTTTATATAAAAGAGCTTGCATCAACCGATGCACGTGTACAAAACCCACTCTGTGCACACACAAGAGCTCAATTTATTCCAAGAAAGGCCTTATTAGAGAGTTTCCATTTCGGGCAGGTTACACTCTCTAATGAAAAGCACTGAAAGTGCATAACCCTCGCCACTGTTGGTTCAAACGGAACGACACAAAGCACACACAGACCAACTGCAATAACCCGCAGGCGAGGGTTAACAAGGCCTTCCTCACTAATATGGGCGTTTTCTTCCGTCCCATTGGTGTCCAGATTAGACAAGTTCCACTGCATCATCATGCAATCCAACATCACTTCCTAGCTTCCTGGCAAACTGCGTACTATAGCCGGAAAGTCTTAGTTCCCTGGACTCACTTTGATGTAAGTGGCTATGACTTCCGCTCTCTTTCTGAGGGACTCTTCCGCGAGGATCTCCTTGGCAACCAGCTGGGCCAGGAAGTTGAAATCCTCTACCATCGCCAGCACATTCGGAGCCAACTTCTGCTTCTGTGGTAGAGTGACAAAATAATGGGAATAATATAATATAAGGGTTTAGAGCTAAACTTACTAAAGCTAGAACTAAACCTAGTGACCCAGTGCAATTATTTGGACGCCATGGTTATGTATCTCCTTAAAAAAGCAGAAATTCCTACTACCTCGCCCCATCGCTCTAAGCATATAGCAATTTCCCCCTTTACTCAACAAGCAGAAAGCTAATTAGGGCTTCTTTTGCAATAACTTTCACTATCATTCTGCAGAGCTTGCCACTTGTTGCATTCCATCCCTTCTCTCCCTCTTTCACTTCTTTCTCTCTCCCTCTCCCTCTCTCTTAATTCAGTCATCACCCTACACCAATGTTTACTGTAGCCCATTGTATGCATACTGGCTTCTCCTCATTCACCTCTTTGCATTGTTCATATGTTACCACGTAAACGTTATTTCACACTGTTTGCCTACAACCTTACTGGATGTTTGGCTCCTACTTTCATCTCAGTCCTCTTTGTTGTTCTACTGAGGTGATTCTGCCTCACTTTTAGAGGTTTTTTTTAGCATAAAGAGTTACAGTGGAACCTCCGATAAGGGACCCTCCGAGATAGGGACGACCTCTCTACATCTCGCCAGTCTGCGCCTGCGTCGGGCTCCTGGCTCTACCAGCAGCGTGGGTCTTGTGTTCTCACTCTCTTACGAGTCTCAGCACATTCACGATAAAGATACCATACGGTATTTCTGGCTAGTGCTATACTGGCCTCACGTGGGCTATTTATGGGATATATAGAGTACGCCCGCGTAGTGCTCGGTATTTACACTAGTATGGGGCGGAGCCAGTTGTTCGTCATGGAGGTATCCTACAATTATGCCAACAATGCAATATCAGTTGCACAAATATCTGCAGTGTTTATGTGGGGATTATTGCTGTTGTTACTAACACAATGGACCAGACTATGAATATCAACTAGTCCTTTCGGTTTGCTGGTTCATGAATGATTGCAAGACTCATTGACAAGGAACATGAATCAACAGAGGAACGCAAAAACAGGAAAGGACTCCCTGAATAAAGTACACCTTTCTATAGGAAGACATTTGGTTTTTCCCGCGTTAGCTTAGGTGCAAATAGGACTTTCATGTCTACCTCGAACACCTGCTACATCTGTTAGCGAGCCAAGCTGGCACATGACGCCAGCTAGCTAAATTGCATTAGTCATGTAGCTAAACCGATAAACGGTGGAGTTCTTAGACTCCAGAACACAAAAAACGACAAGGTCGACTTCAATCTTGGCTCTGGAAATTGTTGACCAGAAAAACTGATGAGTCACACTGGCAATGATCTAGCCTCGTTCTATAGTCAACTAGTCCCGAGACAGTAGACTGCGTAACGTGTATTTTTGAAAAGGAAAATTGTTAGCTTAGCTCTAGGTCTGACGCAACAGAAAGAAGATAAAACAGGTGCAAACCTTTTCTTTGTCCATCCACGCTCCATTGCGTATCTCCGTGGCACCGATACGTCTCAGTAGCTCCGCGTCTCGCAACGTCAGCTCTTCGGCTATCTCCACCGCCGTAAACAGGTGCAGCGTGTGCTTGTCCATCTCTCCTCCCTCTCGCTCTCTGCTAAACCACGTTTTCCTTGCGAAAACTAGGAGCGGACGCCCTAGTTATATGCAACACTTCCGCGCATGCGTATAAAACAGCGAGTGTAGCTAGCGCATGCGCACTAATCTGCATAATAATCGCGCGCATGCTGCCATTGTCTGTCAGAATAGTCAGTATTATACACTTACAGCAGAATAAAAGAACACAAGAGGCAATAAACATGGTAAACTGTCATCAATGGTCATTCAAGTACAGGGAAATTCAGGGAAGAAGTCTTGAACATCACGGCTTCTGAAAATGTTTTTAAAACAAATTAGGCAGCACAAAACTCAGCGTAAGAGAGGGAGAGGGAGAGAGATGAGGGATAATGAAGGAAGGGCGTAGTGTTTTCTTACCTTTTCCTTTTTGTCTGCCTCTGAATTGGCATTTGCAGATGCTATTGTAACCTAATGATAAAAATATGAATTCAGTCAACCACGCAGAAAGAATTTGTAACCAGACAAAAGCAGAGGACTGTGTGTTCTAGAGAGGGCTCTACCAACTGAGCTACTGAGGCAGCTCAATTGGCTGGGCCGAATCACTCATACAGAGCACTCTGTGTTCTAGAGAGGGCTCTACCAACTGAGCTACTGAGGCAGCTCAGCTGGCTGGGCTGAATCACTCATACAGAGCAAGGCAGAGCACTCTGTGTTCTAGAGAGGGCTCTACCAACTGAGCTACTGAGGCAGCTCAGCTGGCTGGGCTGAATCACTCATACAGAGCAAGGCAGAGCACTCTGTGCACAAAGCTAACCTGCCCACTAGGACTCGGATAACTCGGGCTGGCGTAGCTGTAAGCAGCGTAGTACCCTCCATAAGCCCCGGCAGCCGCTGCAGCCGCAGCATAAGCTCCATACGGGTTCGCCTGCTGGTAGTACTGCCCGTCTGCCCCCAGTACGTAACCACCTCCGTATTGACTCATTTGTTGCAGGTAAGCTGTATACGCCGCGTAGTCACTGTAACCCTGCTGCTGTTGCTGTGCAGCTATTTGTTGTGGGTACTGGTATGGTTGCCCGGTTTTTGTCGCGTGTGCGTATGCAGCGGCCGCCGTGGCTACGTCGTAACTCTGCGACGACGATGTTGCCGTTGACGACGTGTTGGTGGGCAGAGTCTGGAGACGAGAGGCTGATTTACGGGCAGGCGTTGTTATGGGAGCAGTGGGGGTAGGTTGTTTGGTGGTTGCCATAGACACTTCCATTGTTGAAGCCAATTCTTTGGTCGTCGTAGTAACCACCGGGGTTTCCGTGGCGACTACCCCGGAGGATGAAACTGGAACGATGGAGGAGGGAGTTTGGGGTGTCGGGGTGCACACTCCGGTATCCGTGGTAACAGGAGGGGGCGGGGGAGCGGATGGAGTAGTATCCGATTGTAGAGGTGGAGGAGTTTGCAAATCTGATTTGCTTTCTTTCACCTCTGGAGGAGGAGGAGGGGCTACACAAGAAAAAAATGCAAGGAATAGATGAAAATGGCAAATAATGTATCTGGACAGCAAATGCACACTCATCAGAAGAGCCCTAAAATTGGAGATTTCAACGAAAACCGGTGTATTTTCGTAAGCACTCATTTTTACACGTGATTATGCATGTACATGTGTACAACATACGAGGAATTGGCTGGTCAGGTTCCATTCCAGGAGGGGCTGGTTCCTCAGTCTCCGTTCCATTCTCAGGTAACTTGGTAGCCCCATCCTCCACAGCTACAACATCTGAGGATGATAAATTGCACGTATATAACTTCTGATATAAAAAATGAACCCCTCTTTAAGTACATACGCTCCTGAAACGAGGACATTACCTATTCTTTCCCCAAGAACAGTTCTTGCATGCAATTAAACCCCTGAAATAAGGACACCTCTCTAATAAGGACACCTTTTCCTTCCCCAAGAACAGTTCTTGCATGCAATTCAACCCTTGAAATAAGGACACCTCAATAATATGGACACCTTTTCCTTCCCCAAGAACAGTTCTTGCATGCAATTCAACCCCTGAAATAAGGACACCTCACAACACGGACACTTTCTTCTGTCCCATTGGTGTGGAGTTCCACTGTATAATGCTCAGGACACCTCACTAATATGGACACTTTCTTCTGTCCCATTGGTGTCTGGATTAGAGGAGTTCCACTGTACTACAGCCAAGTCAGTACAACTGAGAAATTGCTCAATAGTCACCAGATTGTGAGGGTGGGGTCTGTGGGGTCTGCAGGATGCAAACTAACCTTCTCCAGGAGGCAAGGGGGCAGGGGAATTCCCCGACGTCAACTCGGGCTCCATTCCAGGTGGGAGGGGCTCCGGACTGCTCTCTGGACCTGCATCGTCGTCGTCGTCATGACGACCACCAGAGAGTGCAGAAACACCTGAAAATACACCGTCCATGTTTTGACATGTGAAAGTGACACGTTGCCTATGTGGCTGATGACAACACACACATTGTACACCACATTAAAATAGACCATAGGGTATATACAGCGAAACAAAACGGACCCCCTGAATAAAGGAATTGATGCACATGCTACGAAGTGTATATTAACCCTCCCGAGGTAGCTAAATTAGCTATGAAACCCTGCTGAGGTACAGCTCTCTGCATAAGGCAAACCTTCTGAAGGTCCAGCATCACGAAGCCCTCCCCCGACTCCACCCACTTCTGAAGCCCCGTCACCTCCCTGTTTGTCGGCACCGAGGACAATGGGTGGAGCCACTTCCACCGGGGAACTCCCTCCACTGTCTATCTCCATCTCACACTCTGCCGTTTCTTCCACCTCCTCCCCTCTTCCCTCCCTCTCCCCCTCTACTCCCTCGCTGGCTTCCGGTGCCTCCGAGACTACCGCGGTGTCTTGTTCATCGTCACCCGTGGATACGGTCGGCATGGCAACAATCTCGTTGTCATGGGAACTTGTTGACATGGCGACATCTGGAGGTGGCGGTGGAGGAGGTTGTATTTCAATTGGTGCTTGTTGATCCACACATTCGACTGATCTGAGATCATCCGTGTCTCCTTCCCTTGCAAATGACGTAGTCTGGTTCCCAATCTCCGGTTCCCCGATTCCAGTTCCAACATCTCCGGTTCCGGAACCCCCGTGTCCCTGTTCCATGCTTTCAGACACATCTTCACCTTCACTCTTTTGTTTGTCCGCTTTTTGAGCCGTAACAACATCTGCCGGATGCCCAGTTGTCTCTTTAGGCACCTGATCCCCAGTTCCTTGCGCATCTGTTCCTCCGTACGCCCGAGTTTTATTCCCTGATGCTCCCCCATCTCCTACATACTGCTGCAAACTGGTCGTAATTCCGTATTGCTGTTCTCCGGTTTCCACGTTTCCATACTGCTGTTCCCCAGTTCCAGCCTGTTGTTGTTGTACGTACTGCTGGTACTCGGTTCCACTCCACTGGGCCGGGTTCCATCCCGTCCCAGTCGCATACCCAGGATACTGGTAGCCGGGGTACAATCCGGAATAGTACCCTCCTTGTGCCGCAGTGGTAGGGTACCCAGAGTAAGCCCCGGTGACAACCTGAGCCGGTTGTCCTCCACCGCCGGAGTGTCCGCCATGACCCTGCACGTGTTGCTGTATCTTGCTCTCCAGTCGCTTGCTCTCTTCCCGCTTTTCCAGCATTTCTCTCTCCTGCTTCTGCTTCTCGTCGATGCTCTCAGCGATGGCTGCCTGGGCCTTGTCCAGAGGCGTGTCTCCTTCCCCCGTGGTCGTATTGTCTGAAGACAGAGTACGCAGAGAGCTGACTTTACCAACGCGACCTACTGTGACTTTCTTTGGTGGTTTTGGAGGCTCGTTCTCGTCCTTGCGATCTTTCTTGTGCTTCTTCTCCTTCTTTTCCTTCTTCCTCTTCTTCTTATCGCTGATACCGGTTTTGTCCTTACTACGACGATGTTTTCCCGAACCACGCGACTCCTTTGAGCGCGACCGCGAACGAGATCGATGTTTGCGTCTCCTTGACGTCGACCTTTCGTCTTCGTTTCGCGACCTCCGAGAGCGACGCTCGCTCGACCTCTCCCGATAATCGTCGTCAGAGTCATAGTCGCCGTGGCGACGTTGACGAGAGTAACGATCTTCTTCGGAAAAATCTGATCCCGAGAAGTCACTGTACACACTTGTGTGATAACTCTTCTTATCGGAACGATCCCCTCCATAGTCCGAATAGTCACTGTCGTCTCCACGGGCGACTTTTAGAGCTCCGACTGTTGCCATAGCGATCACGGCTGCGGGAACGAGAGCGCGACTGGGAGTAGCGTCTCCGTGACGACGACGATTTGGAGTAACGGTCGGAGTACTCCGGAGGGCTATCACTATCATACCCCGTACTGTGGGGGAACAAAAATGACACAGTGAAGAAGGCCTTCTTTTTCATTGACATCATACACATAGTACAATACACTATATACCACAGTAAGCCGCGAAATTTTCACCGATTATGTTTAAGTTTCCGTTCTCAATGACAGTTTCCAAAATTTGGCACTACATGTATCATTGCCTACAATATGTAATTCAATATTTTGGTTAAGTATTTCATTTACAAACCCCTCTCTACAGGTGGCTTACCGACTTCTCTGGGCGTCCATTCTCGCCCCGCCCTCCCTGTCCATGTAGCATCGCGGAGTCACGGCGGAATGGGACTCGGACACCGGCCCTGGCGTGGAACTGCCCGACGATATCTCCCCCTCTTCGTCCTCCGTCTTGTCCGTGGCCGTCCCACCCCTCTTCCCTCTCACCTCCTCTTTCTCTCCCTCCACTTCCCTCTCACCCTCTGTGGTAGCTGGGACCTCCATCTTCTCCTTCGCTGCCCCTCTCTCTCCCTCTGTCGAGACACCTCTGTGGGAAGAACAATTTGTGTAAAAATAAGAGGGGGCTTTGCTACTAAGGTACAACTGCACAGACAGTGTAGGTGTCCTCAATCTTAAAGCAGAGAAGTCCTCTCTAAGTACACCTCTCTAATAAGGACATCCCTGAAATGAGGACACCTCACTAATAAGGACACCCCTGAAATGAGGACACCTCACTAATAAGGACCCCCCCTGAAATGAGGACACCTCACTAATAAGGACCCCCTGAAATGAGGACACCTCACTAATAAGGACCCCCCTGAAATGAGGACACCTCACTAATAAGGACCCCTGAAATGAGGACACCTCACTAATAAGGACCCCCTGAAATGAGGACACCTCACTAATAAGGACCCCCTGAAATGAGGACACCTCTCTAATAAGGACATCCCTGAAATGAGGACACCTCACTAATAAGGACACCCCTGAAATGAGGACACCTCACTAATAAGGACCCCCCTGAAATGAGGACACCTCACTAATAAGGACCCCCTGAAATGAGGACACCTCACTAATAAGGACCCCCTGAAATGAGGACACCTCACTAATAAGGACCCCTGAATGAGGACACCTCACTAATAAGGAACCCTGAAATGAGGGACACCTCACAATAAGGACCCTGAAATGAGGACACTCACTAATAAGGACCCCTGAAATGAGGACACTCACTAATAAGGACCCCGTGAAATGAGGACAACTCACTAATAAGGACCCATGAAAATGTGAGTCCCCCCCCCTCAACAGAAAATAGCTATCCCCTGCTCCCTTGAACCCCCCCTCTACCCGTCCCTCTCCTTCACCTCACATCCCCCTTCCCCACTCCCCTCAAGATACCATACCCCTTATCACCTCTATTATCATAAACCACCGACCACGTCCCCAACCCAACCCTACTCCCCAACTCGCCGACCCCCCCCCATCCCCATCAACCCCCCCACCTCGCCTTCTCCCCAGTTACCAATCCCCTCTCATGAAACATCTTCCCTCTCCTCCTCTCCTCTGCCACCCCCCTTCACCTTCCAACCTACCCTCCCCCCCTTTCTCCTGCCCTCCGCCCTGCCCCCCTCCCCACCCCTCCCTCATAGCACTTCCACTCTATCCGTTACCACCTCCCCGTCCACCATCATACTCCATTCCTACACTTCACCCCCTCTTTTAACCACCTCTACCATCCACCTCCCACCCACTCGATTTTTCCCCCCCTCATTCCCACCCACCTTACCGTATCCCTTCCCCTATCCTCCACCCCCCCATTCTCATTCATCCCTGTTCAAATTATTGGCTACAACGTCCTTTCTCCCCTTATCTTCACCTCCTCCCCCCCAGCCGACCCACAAACCCCTTAGTGTCCTCTAAATACAACTTATTACTCTACCCTCCCCCACCCTACACCCGTTCCCTCTCACTGCCTCGGCAACTCCCCACACTACGCCGCTCACAATTACTCATCTCTTCACTTTCACCCCCACTCTAATGATCTCCGCCTACTTACCACCCTTCCCATTCCCCTAAGGAACCTCACTAATAAGGACCCCCTGAATGAGGACACCTCACTAATAAGGACATCCCTGAAATGAGGACACCTCACTAATAAGGACCCCCTGAAATGAGGACACCTCACTAATAAGGACCCCCTGAAATGAGGACACCTCACTAATAAGGACCCCCTGAAATGAGGACACCTCACAATAAGGACCCCCTGAAATGAGGACACCTCACTAATAAGGACCCCCTGAAATGAGGACACCTCACTAATAAGGACCCCCTGAAATGAGGACACCTCACTAATAAGGACCCCTGAAATGAGGACACCTCACTAATAAGGACCCCCTGAAATGAGGACACCTCACTAATAAGGACCCCTGAAATGAGGACACCTCACTAATAAGGACACCCCTGAAATGAGGACACCTCACTAATAAGGACACCCCTGAAATGAGGACACCTCACTAATAAGGACCCCCTGAAATGAGGACACCTCACTAATAAGACCCCCTGAAATGAGGACACCTCACTAATAAGGACCCCCTGAAATGAGGACACCTCACTAATAAGGACCCCTGAAATGAGGACACCTCACTAATAAGGACACCCCTGAAATGAGGACGCCTCACTAATAAGGACACCCCTGAAATGAGGACACCTCACTAATAAGGACACCCTGAAATGAGGACACCTCCCTAATAAGGACATAATTTCTTTCCCTACGAACAGGTCTCTCGTGCAATTTAACTCCTGAAATACGGACATCTCACTAATATGGACACTTCTATGTGCTTATAACACACAAGCAGTCTATAAGGAAAAGGTGTCCTGTCAAGAGAGGTGTCTGATTTCAGAATTCTAAAATAAACTTTCATCTACGGTTGTTATAATTCCTTACGTTTCCGTGACTGAAGTTTGATGACTTTCCTCTCTACTTTCATTATCTCTTCCGACCAGTCCCCACATCCTGCTCGTTACAAGGCTCCTCCCCCTTTGTCCCCTCCCAAATCTCCACCCAAATTCTCTTCCTCGACGACTGCCACGTTTTCGCTCTCTCCAGTCTCCGGTTCGATCCGATCGAAACTCACCTGAATCTTCGTCGCCGAGAAACCGGTTTTTATCAGACCGCGTGACACTCCTGTCTCCTTGTGAGTCGTCTGGTTGCTAGGTTCGTTGCCGGGTGTGGTATTCGTTGCTTGTTCCTCGTGTTGTTTTGTTGTCTCTTGCGGGTAGAGTAGACCGGTCGATTCTTCTACTCCTTCGTCCTTTAGAGAAAAGGAGTTCAAAAGAAATGATTACTTGAGGAATGCAACGCATGCAAACAAGTGCAAGCAGTTCAATATTTCACGCGTATTTAGAATCACGTACAGCATTACGGTATGTGCAGTGCCTGACAGAGCCGTCATAGTTATAATTATAATATATAAATAAATGGAACATTGAAATGACTAGGTAGGCTCGCTTCGCTCGCCAATTAAGTGGGAATCAAAGTTGACTCTTCTGTTTTAACCTCCAAGGAAAAGACAAACTCCGCAAGAACAACAAAATGCCAAAAGCTGTTCATTACTTCCTCTCCAATAGTCAGCGCTTCCACTGCACACCTGTTCCAAAACCGGTGTATATGGAGTATATACGGATGATATACAGTGTATATGGATGATATACAGTGTATATGGAGTATATACGGATGATATACAGTGTATATGGATGATATACAGTGTATATACCTGTGCAGGTGGTTCTGTGTCAGGCAGAATGAGTATCTTGTCTGTGACAGCCACTCGCAATTTTTTCGTTCGCTCTATCAACCTCTCTCGAAGCTTCGCCTCACTCTCCTCCAAGACACCTGGCACGGAGGGAGGGGGAGGGGCCGGCTGCTTCGGAGCTTCGGTGGGCGGAGCCTCGGTCTCCACGGATACATCTCTCCTTCCAAGATCTCCTTTTAAGATAAAAGTGTACACAAATACAAAACTCATTGTTTGGAGTGCTTAAGATTTAAGTCAAAATGTAAAATTTGGGGGCTTACGGTTTATACAAGGTGGAGACACAGGTTCAGTAGATATAGCATCAATGCCCCTCGTTTCATTGGTCAGAGCCTGTAAGGCTTCCATGACAACGTCGGCACTTCGCTCTAGGTTACCAGTTGCCGTGGAAACCACTCTCCTCTTCTTAGTGTCTGTGATATGTAGACAGAATACAGTATGAGTAAGATGACAAAAAATGACAAGTGTCCTGATTAGTGAGGTGTCCTGATCTCAGAGAAAAGTGTACTGATTAGTGAGGTGTCCTGATCTCAGAAGAAAGTGTCCTGATTAGTGAGGTGTCCTGATCTCAGAAGAAAGTGATCCTAGTACTAAGGGAAAATTTGTCCTGTTTGGAGAGGTGTCCTCATTTCAGGAGTGGCCTAACGCTTTCCCTCCCTCCACGTCTTCTCCCTTCTCTCTCCCCCTCTTCTCCTTCTCACCATCTTTAGAGGTGGAGGAGGAGGAGGAGGAGGAAGATCAGCAACGTCCACCTCAGACGATCGCGTCGGTCTTGGCTGAGGTCTTTTGGACGACAGCTTCCTCCGCACATCGTTTGCCGTGATTTCCCTTTTCGCTGACATCCTCGCGACGCTCGATCGAGCCTTCTCTCTTGACGCGACGATTTAGAGCATCGTTTTCGTACTTCCAGGCACGGGGGCTATTGCGTGTGTGTGTGTGTGTGTGGAAGAAAAGCAAAGGAGAGTGATATTGAATTGAGTGGGCTTTTGTCCGCAGTACACTAACTGTGGTTTTTTTTGAATGCCTATGCACCACGGCCCAATCTCCCACCCGAACAGGGCAACTGGCGGCCCTTCCATGTTAAGTGTGTGTGTGTGGTGTGAAAGACGTAGCCATATGCCTTATATGTCTGGGTTGAGAAACACATACGTGTACAGTAAGTGTGCCAATAAGATATACATACTAAATACTAGTTTAGCCATTGAACATTGTATCTACATATTCACACAAGGGCCTTGTTTGTACGTATGATGCTGTACTGTACTTTAGTACACAACTTATCACTACACTTTGAACTTCTCAAACTCAAAAGATGAACCCACCATAGGAGCCGGACCATCTCCCCTCCCTCGAGAAATGCTCCAGTAGGCGTGGCCACATCCTTTTTCTGTTTCTCTCCTTTTTTTTGGCCGTGGCAGCGGCGACCTTTGCCAACTGCTTCATCTCCGGGGTGACCAGCGCACGCGTCACCTGATGAGGGAGAGCTGCAGATTTCACCGTTTCTTGGTTACCGTGGCAACAGATGATGGCGATGTAATCGTTTGGGTGGGGCCCGGTGACGTCACGGGTGGAGCTTGCGATGAAGTCATTGTTTGGGGACGAGAGGGAGTGGTTGACGGTTGACCAGTTTGAAAAACCGGTTTTGCGGGTTGTGGGTGTGGTCTAGAGTGAAGGGGAGGAGGTGGAGGAGGAGGGAGGGAGGGATGGAGAGGACTGGTGGGGAAAGACAGACAAAGACGGGAGAGTAAGGGAGGGAGAAAAGAAGAAAAGTTGTCAGAAACGCAAAACAAAAATGAAAGTAGAAAGTAAAACGTATAATATATACAATGTACATGTAGTATAGGTATAGAAGCACCACGCACGAGCTCTGACCTTTGAACCATAGCAGATTCCTCCTCTTCCTGAGTTGAAGATCCACTCTCGGTCGTTTCTTCGCCTTCTTCTTCTTGAGAGAGAGAGGAGAGAACATGTGCATTAAATAGAACCACAAGCGACAAACAAACTTTTCCTAAAATCTAAAATTGCAACTACAAGTTACTGTATATACTTGGATGGACATCACTCCATACACTCAACTGGATTATCATTCTACGAAAAGTGGAATATGTAAATGTGCAGGTACAGATACATTATAAATACCGTATGAAAAAAAATTGCGGTAGTGCGTAATAGTAATTTTGCGTTGCTTATTTTTAAGTTTTAGTGTGTAAATTTTGATTTTAACCTCCAGCAGCATTCGCAGAAGTCGGGTACCCCCAACTTATTTCACCGGTGGACAGATGTTGGAATTGGTAGCGACAAGTTGTGCTGTGGGGTAAACAGAGGAGGGAGAAGAGAGAGAGAGACGATGGAAGAGAGGGACGGAGAGAGAAAGAGGAAGAAGAGAGGGGGATGAAAAAGTAACCCAAAAATTCAGCCCAACCTTGATAACAAACCTCGTGTCTTATCAAATCAATCATCCCAATAATCCACCACATTGCAGACATGTGCAGATAGGGCAACTCACCGGACCAATCGAGGCTTTTAGGTCAAGCACACACACGCACACACATGCGCACACAGGGTGTGTGATAAAAAGGGGGAGGGGGTAATAGTCCACGTGCGGTAAGCGACAACACTGTACCTATCCCAAGAAATCTCCAGCCTTTCGGCGCCGCTCTCTTTCTCGTAGTTTAGGAGGCTGTCAGAAGCTTCTTTTAGTTTCGAGAGAAGGAACTTTGTTTCCAGTCCGCCTTCTTCCCAGTCAGATAGACGAGTCTAGGGGAGAGTTTCACTCTAACATGAAGAAAGAGCTGTCCTGGGTGTATTAGTTTGATTCGCTTGTTGTGCCTTTGCCGACGTCGTAGTTGACACATGGTGACAGTTTTGGGCCCAAAGGCCTGTCTAGTGCGCGAATTCTCCATAGAACAGCTGTAACAACATCTTTAGAGCTATACATACAATGCTTTCACTACAAAAACCTGATGATCTAGGGGAGAGGAGGGAGATTGACTCTTATATATCTGATCACGGCCAAAGGCTCTCTAGTGCGCGAATTCTCCATAGAGCTGTACAACACTTAGAGCTATCATACAATGCTTTCACTAACAAAACCTGACAGTCTAGGGGAGAGGAGGAGGGTATTGGACATGCGTCATGTTGGGTAAAGGCTCTCTAATGCAGCGAGTCTCCATTGAGCTACACATACATACAATGCTTTCACTAACAAAAACGTGCGCGAAATAATCGGCCAGACATCGTATATCAGACGAGGCGTCAAGGGGGAATATGTTTACCTTGACTTCCACTTGTAGGATCTGCATGTCTGACACACCGTCGCTACTGACGTGAAGGAACTGCAGCTTTCGACTCAATTCGTCAGCCAATGAGGAGACTTGGAACTGTATAGGGAAGGGAGGAAGGGAGGGAGGAGGGAGGAGAGGAGAGGGAGGAGAGGAGGGAGGGAAGAAGGGAGGGAAGAGGGAGGGAGGGAAGAGAGAAGGGAGGGAAGAGAGAGAGAAATAGGGAAAGAGAGAGAGGAATAAGATTCGTAAAAGGCCAGATTGTTTAACTTTTCTCTTTAAACTTATGCTACAAACACTCACCCTCATAGCTTGTTGCTCCTGTCTTACCGAGCTAATTATCGGAGAACCTGGGAAAAATTACACAACCGTAAAAAACAGAGCACACTAGACAATAAGTACAAAAACTCACAATAGAAGACGGAGAGAAATGACCATAAGTGATGTGTATACTTGTATACACTATGTATATGTACATTGCTCACACCGAATGTACTGCTGCAGTGAAGAACTTACTGCGTTGCTTTTTGGGTTTGTCGTCAGGCACACCCCAAACAACGCTCCGTGGCAACGGGCCCCGGGGAATCTTCTTTGGAGGAGAGACTCCGTCTGGGCTGTGGGTAGCGGTGGAAGTGGGCATTAATTGGAACTCACCCTCTTCCGCCTCCTGTAAGACAGGTGAGTAATCGTGAACATCCAGACACTTCGCTGTTCCTTCTGAGAAGGCAGTTTCTAGTAAGTAAATCGACACAAACTCACTTCCAAGTCCAACTTTCTTTTCGTTCCTCCTCCTCCTCCTCCTCCTCCAGATTGTTCACCAACTTCCAAATTTTGCTCGTTACCCTCTGAAACGGATCGAAACGCAGTACACGTACAATTATACACGAGGAAGCGAAATAATTAACAACCGTGTTCTTTACAGCCCTTTTGAAGTAGAAAGGCCAAAGTGGCGAAGGGTTCATGGAGGTACAAATGACGTTTCGACACGGGGAGACGACGATTGGGGTTACACAACACAGCACAACACAAAGGCAACCCCCACATACCTGAGGCGAGGTCCACGTTTTTATTTTCGGCCTCTTTCTCGCCATCTCCTACTCCTCCTGTTCCTTTCTTGGTGGATTCCGTGGTCCAACGGCCTCGCCTCTCCCCTTACCGCGTCGGTCAGGGACCACGACCCCCTCGTCGTAGTAGGCGAAATAGTCGAGCGGTTCTCCCTTTTCGTCTCCGCCGGGGTGCCCCCGTACGAGATTACCTGGAGAGGATAGAGGGAGAGAGTGTGCTGTATACGTACGACTGCTTTACAGCAGAGTTCACAAATAAGCATTGTTGAGACATGTACACACTTAC